GGGTCCTATTGGACTATTTTCTCATCTTTAATAAGTTCAGCATACTTTCAGCTAGCAAAGCCATTCAGGTATCAAAATGTTCAGCTCTTCAAGGACAGTCATTTCTAAACTTCATACTTTTGAAATATTTAGCTTTATTTTGACAATCTTGCCCCATTCAAATTAATGGGAAAATTGTACTTCAGCATACTTTCAGGTAAATATCCCTTTCACGTGTCAAAATGTTCAGCATTTTCAGGGCAATCTTTCAGCACACAGCATCCGCACGCATTTTCGACAGGAAATGCATTTCTCTAGTTTATATTGATGCCAATGCACGTGAGACTCTGTATCAAGACCACATTACCATTATTGATCTTCTCTTCACTATACATTCATATCAAACCATCTCTATTTGTTGAAATAGATGAGTTTAACATCAGGTGTAGGTGTTTGACAGTAGAAATCATAAAATTAAGTATGATGTACCATCTTTTTACATTTGGAATTTATGCTTGAAGAAGGATCAAAGATTTTTATTGTCAATTCACTATATGTGCAGGACTTAAGAAAATCACAATAATGTTTCTCTCTCACCTAGTATTGAATGCCCATACCATTTAAGAAACTAAAATAGAATAAAAGTAGAGTAAACATAGAAAACTAAATAAAATTAGGATAAAACTAAATGGTACAACCTAATGGGCTATGAAGAAACTCAAAGCTATGTGTTTCTGGGGTCAGTGCAAATAACGAAGATTGACAGGTGGTCACCATCACCAGGGGCGTTGGTGATGAGATGCACATGGACAGTAGCGCAAATGACCAACATCAGCAGATATGGTAAAAAGAACAGCCAGCAGCGGATTTACATGTAATACAACAAAAAGGGGGAATGTACCGAGTTTGTGCAAAGCAGCAGAGGTAGTCTTTTTATGTTCTGTGGTGCGTCACAGTCCAGGGGCACGGGGGGTGAGGTAATGGACAGTGTTCAGTATCCTCATGGCCTGGTGGATGAAGAAGTTTGTAAACTCTCTGGCTCTCTTTGACTGTCACACACTAGCTTTTCCTCTGCATCTGTCTCAAGCCAATAAGTAGTAAAATGTACTCAATTTCTAATAATTGCAACAGTATGAAATTTTCACAATATGATAACCATCTCAGAAAATATTGTGGTTCCACGGTATTGGACAATTGCTATTATTATCAGCTACAAGGACCCTCAAAGGAATGAAAACCAAGTCCTTTTTTTTTAATTGCATGTGACTGTGCTACTAAAGAATAAACAGTTATAAAGATAATTATTTTAAAAAGCATGTAACCAAAGCATATTGGCACCAGCATTTGAGGTATTCACATCCTTTACTTAAAAGTACTGCTTTCACTGTAAAAGTAGCCTACTGTGTTACAAGTAGTAGTCCTGCATTAAGAATGTTAACTAAAATTAAGTATTATCACAAAATGTACTGAAAATATTAGATGTAGAAGTAGGATACTCAGTGTTGTACTATACTGTATATCCTACTGTATACTGAGATATTACTATATATAATATCACATTAACAGTATATCACTCATGCACTGATGTAACAGCAGGACCTAACTGTTGTAGCCGGTTGAGGTGGAGCTCTGCTGAACTATTTTATATCCAAGTGCAACTACTGATAATTTTCATTAGGCATCAATCTTATGATTATTTCCTCCATTAATTGATTGGCTGGTTTGTGAAACAGTAGTGAGAAATGCTGTCACACTGCTCTAAATGATTATCAGAATAGTTGGTAATTTTATTGTAGGTGGATGATAGCATAGTCGCTCACTCTCTCAAACACACACACTCTCACTTATGTGGGCTGAGAAGGTGTGTGTGTGTGTGTGTGTGTGTGTGTGTGTGTGTGTGTGTGTGTGTGTGTGTTTCTGGGGTCAGTTTGGGATTAGTGTGTGTCCTTTAAAATCACAGATTAGCAAATGAATAGACAGTGTGGGAAAACTACCGTATTTTCCGGACTATAAGCAATAGCGCATCTTATGACCGCGTTCATACACTCACGTTTTATTGTTTGGGATTAAAGTTATAAACAGGACACACTCGGAGAAATGGTGTTCTCGCAGGTGTTTGTTTTTGAGATATCCAAAGTAATCCTATGCTTCTGATTTTAATTTTTTTTTTTTTTTACTGGATGGAGTTTGGTGATATCAGCCTCCTTCTCTCTGGCATTTGTTCACTGCATGTGTGCGTGCACTCGTTGTGCTAAAGCGATACTTTTACAATGGTGCCACTACGAGAACCGATACTTTAAAAAAAAAAAAAAAAAAGCATAAAATCAGGCCGTAAATTTCATAATTTGAAGAGCAAGGTCATTTGGCCTTCAATTTTCAGAGGGCACAAAGGCCACTTGACTGGGCACTAAGACTGAGAAAAATGACATGATATGCATGTGCACATGGCTTATGTGTATACAGCCTGAGCAGTAAAGGTGCAGATGCTCGTAGAATGGTTAAAGGGAAATGTGCAGAGACAGTATAGTAACTGTTCACCTTTATTATAATTTGGACAGTAGATGGTTTTATCTGTGCACATTTAGACTCAAAGGCAAACTAAGCTCTGTCTGCTGATGTTGCCTAAGATCATGGGTCAGAAGAATGATGGCTGTGTTAAGGAGAAAACAGAGGAAAGGATGTCTACTTTCTCTTAATTACTGTAACTGGTGCGATGATGATGATGATGACAGAATGTCCAGCATCACTTCTAGCACGGTGAAGACTAAAAATAAATGCGCAGTGGCTGCATATTAAGGTTTTCACTTGGTTGTCAATATTTGTGCTTATTTAGCATATACAATATTTAAAGCAGTGGAGAGAACATGGTAGATTTCAACACTATGTAACGTTTTAGAGCCCCTGAGTTTTCTTACAGCTCAGACAAGTTTAGCATCTGACGCACAGTGATGCTTCTGTTGCCTGTATCGTCCGTTTCACAGTACCAGAGGACAATTATTTCAGTCAACAGTTCACCATGAGACTAAAATGCAAAAGCAGTTGCCAGTGAGGTTGAATAGTTGAGGAAAAAAATTGATGTTCACCATTTTGGTTGCCTAACGGGCTCCACAGCGTGCACATGGGAATGTGACTGGAGTTGTTTTGTCAGCAACTCATAGATTTAGAGCATCTTAATATCAAGCATAGGATAAAACCAGTCTTTGATTGTGGATGTCACTGTTAACATAGGCAGTGAAATAGCTTGTTGTAGGACTATACCACTGAATTGTGCTTGTTGTAAGTCATTTATTATAAATCATGTGTACACGTGTATCCATCACAGTGACCATCAGACCTGTATTAGTTTTTGTATATTTATTGGTATGTAGTAATTTAATTGCAAATATGGTTGAAAAGTCCACATTGAATTACCATGCAGCAACAGTATTTATGCTTACTGTGGTGGATTAGACAACTCCATCAATTTTTAAGAGTTTATGAATAGCTTTGTTGTACTACTCAGGGATAAATAGAAATCAGTGGATGCCTGAAACAGTAACAATTCAGAAATCAGGACAGCATGCATTTGTAAATAATGCACAATGTTAAGTACAATGATTGACTTAACCTGCTCAAACACTGGTATGGTGCATTTTAGATATTGTCAGCTTTTCAAAATGCAAAGCTGTGAGAACAAATTTTAAGTTGATAAATATTGCCTGAGTATTCATAACAATGTGAAGTAAATAAAACCCTGAAAGTTTGCTGTTTACAAGTTGTTTTGGAGTTTAAATGTTCTTGTCATTCTTACTCTGTGTACTGTCTTCTGCAGGTCGACAAGGCAACCGGTCGCTTCAACGGTCAGTTCAAGACCTATGCTATCTGTGGCGCCATCCGCAGAATGGTAGGTCTCAGTTGGCTGCCTGCCGCAGTGCTCTTGACTTGCTTTGACAAACACAGAAAAGCCTTTTGCGAGCCAGTTTCCTTGTCAGTCAACATTGAGAGTCAGGCTGATTCATCTGCCCTGTTTGTAAAACTACAACTGTAATCATACAAAATTTATCTGTCAAACCTAGTTTTAAAATCATGCCTCTGCCATGAGGCTCTTGTACATGCTGAAAGCTTTTGTCTGAAGATATTTTTTTTTCTTGCAGGGTGAGTCCGACGACTCCATCCTGAGATTGGCAAAGAACGATGCCATTGTTGCAAAGTAAGAACATGACCTCAAATTTCAAGATTTACCTCATAGTTGGTTTAATGGGGTTGTTACTTTTACTCAAAAGTCACACATTTGTTTGAACATGGGAAGAGATGTCATAACTGTTCCTGACCTATTCAAATGTATACACATACAGACGGGAGTCAAATGAAAGGAAACCCCTGTATGAATGAGTGGTCTCTTCCAGGGTGAGAGTGCCCCCATCCTTAGGGCAGAGTAAGAAAATGATGTGAATCAGATGCTGTGGCACAGTCATCAGATCTCTACCCAGGTGAACACCTATGGGAGATGTTGGAGCAACATGTTAGACAGCATTTTCACCACCACCACCATCATCTAAACACCACATGAGGGAACATCTGTTATAAAGATGGTGTCCATCCCTCCGGTAGAGCTCAAGAGACTTGGAGAGTCAGTGCCAAGGTGCTGAAGCTGTTCTGGTGCCACATGGAGGCCTGGCACCTGACTGAGACACTTCCTGTTGGGTTGTCCTTTCATTTGTCACACGCCTGTATGTGCACATGTGATAGAGTTCACTTTATCACTGCCCCACACACACCACTTGTCATTCAGTTGTGTGTTAGATCAACTTCAACGTTTTGGCAAAGTGTGGAATATTTCTATTTTTATACAAAATATAAAGCATGCATGAGCAAGTACAAAGATAAATAGTAATGATGGATAAAATGGTTTTCTCAAGGGTTCATTTGGACTTGTCATGTTAGGAAAACCACAAGTGTTAAAAATAAAATTGATGTTGCCTTCTTGTTCACGTGTCTCAGTGAGTGTGTTTACATGGACATGAGTATCCTAGTTGTGATCAAGGTTTTAAAGTGTCCTGTTTTTGTGTTTGCGCGTATAAAGATCATATCCCGATTTCAGAAACCCGGTTAAGCTGTTATGCTGGTTTTGAGAAACCCAAATACGCAAGGTGAAGTACTCAGCGAAATCGTGATATTGTTACACGTATACATCTTATCCAGGTTCCTCAAGGTTCAGACTGCGCAGCTGCAGTTGCAGCGTCCAAGTGACTTAACACAGTGTAAGCTGAGAGAGCATCCCGTTTTTGAAGCGATGAAGAGACCGAATTTTGTCTTTAACAAAAGACTTTAATTTACTAGGCAATTTAGATGGGAGAAAGCATAGAAATGCTGACCTCTAAGTCTGTAGTAGAAGAGCTACGGCACGCCGGTTTCCCAGTGTGCACCACAGAACAGGATCACACTGAAAAATGAATCAAAACAGAAGAAGTAGGCCTAGTCCAGCAACATTTTAAATTCTTTAAACTATTGGACAACATACTTGGTCACTCAGCTGTAGACGATGGAGGAGTTTACCAGCTTTCTGTGTACAGCTGATTCTGAGTCTCTGCTGGGTGACGCATCAGCCTCAGGCCTGTTGCTTAACATTAGCATGTATAGACTATTTTATTAGTTTTTGTTGTTGGTTGTTTTGTGAAAAACCAATTTAAAACTAACAATCCTGTATCTTAAAGTTGTGGGCAAAGTGTCAGTTGAAAATTTGGATGTGGCCAATAATGTCTTCTTCTCTTTACCTCTTGTTTCGCAGGAACTTCTGAGTGCAACATCGAAGCTGTGGAAACTAAAATAAAATGGAGAAAAAAAAAATCAACTGTTGCTATTGTTGTCTCTTAATAACTATAAAGATGGTGTCCATCCCTCCGGTAGAGCTCAAGAGACTTGGAGAGTCAGTGCCAAGGTGCTGAAGCTGTTCTGGTGCCACATGGAGGCCTGGCACCTGACTGAGACACTTCCTGTTGGGTTGTCCTTTCATTTGTCACACGCCTGTATGTGCACATGTGATAGAGTTCACTTTATCACTGCCCCACACACACCACTTGTCATTCAGTTGTGTGTTAGATCAACTTCAACGTTTTGGCAAAGTGTGGAATATTTCTATTTTTATACAAAATATAAAGCATGCATGAGCAAGTACAAAGATAAATAGTAATGATGGATAAAATGGTTTTCTCAAGGGTTCATTTGGACTTGTCATGTTAGGAAAACCACAAGTGTTAAAAATAAAATTGATGTTGCCTTCTTGTTCACGTGTCTCAGAGTGTGTTTACATGGACATGAGTATCCTAGTTGTGATCAAGGTTTTAAAGTGTCCTGTTTTTGTGTTTGCGCGTATAAAGATCATATCCCGATTTCAGAAACCCGGTTAAGCTGTTATGCTGGTTTTGAGAAACCCAAATACGCAAGGTGAAGTACTCAGCGAAATCGTGATATTGTTACACGTATACATCTTATCCAGGTTCCTCAAGGTTCAGACTGCGCAGCTGCAGTTGCAGCGTCCAAGTGACTTAACACAGTGTAAGCTGAGAGAGCATCCCGTTTTTGAAGCGATGAAGAGACCGAATTTTGTCTTTAACAAAAGACTTTAATTTACTAGGCAATTTAGATGGGAGAAAGCATAGAAATGCTGACCTCTAAGTCTGTAGTAGAAGAGCTACGGCACGCCGGTTTCCCAGTGTGCACCACAGAACAGGATCACACTGAAAAATGAATCAAAACAGAAGAAGTAGGCCTAGTCCAGCAACATTTTAAATTCTTTAAACTATTGGACAACATACTTGGTCACTCAGCTGTAGACGATGGAGGAGTTTACCAGCTTTCTGTGTACAGCTGATTCTGAGTCTCTGCTGGGTGACGCATCAGCCTCAGGCCTGTTGCTTAACATTAGCATGTATAGACTATTTTATTAGTTTTTGTTGTTGGTTGTTTTGTGAAAAACCAATTTAAAACTAACAATCCTGTATCTTAAAGTTGTGGGCAAAGTGTCAGTTGAAAATTTGGATGTGGCCAATAATGTCTTCTTCTCTTTACCTCTTGTTTCGCAGGAACTTCTGAGTGCAACATCGAAGCTGTGGAAACTAAAATAAAATGGAGAAAAAAAAAATCAACTGTTGCTATTGTTGTCTCTTAATAACTCAAGTAAGATGGAAGTGAGAACCTGGAGCCTTATCCGAATTTCAGTCTTGAGCCTTAAGGCAACACTTCATTGGGGTGGGCGTTTTGAGTTCAGTCATTTAAACAATGGCCACGAACTTTGGTAAATAAAAAAAATAAAAAAAAAAAAAAAGAAGGAAACTTCATTTTGTGTGTCCAACACAAAGAGCGAGGCAGTATAAAACTTGTTTTCAGTGGCTGAAGACATTAATTCAAGTGTATTTGTTAGCATGAAGTCAAAGTTAAATTGCAATTTTTATATACAAGTTTTCTGTTAGAATACCCATTTTCTCATGTCTGTTCAGACCTTTTTTCACATGGATGTGCAGTAACAATATGAATTAGTAAAGCTGACTTGTTCCCTCTTTATGGAAAATGTGTTAAATCATTCTATTTAAAAAATATATTTTAAATTGTCCATAAGTTTCACATTCCACCCCATCACACCCGTGTATTTCTGCACTAAAATGCAGCACTGTTCCATTGAGTAACATCAAGGAAATTACATTTTAAGGGTTTGAACAAGACAAATTCAAATGGTGATTTATTTATTTAAACTTCATGGTATGTTTTTCTTTCAACACCACCTTTGTCAAGCCTTACCTATTCACCCTGTCACTCAAAAACTTTGCTTCTTAAATGAAATTTTCAAATGCATGTGTATAAAAGCATGATTTGTGTCACTTAGCTGCACGCTAAGCGTGATGTTAACTTTGACCACATGGGCCATATTACTTTGACTTTTCCAGCCCTGACACATTCCACACTCACTGATTCAGTTTACCTGCTTTCCTGTGACGGTGGAACAAACCAACTGTGTTATCTTGATGCATTGGGTAAAGTAAAACAAGTAGTGCCTGAGCTTGTAAAATGTTTTGGTACAGGTCTGACAATGTCCTTTATGCAATTAAATGGAAAGTTCAGTTTTTATTATGATTTAAACAAGAAAACTTAAAATTCCATGGTCCAGTCTGTACAGTTTCCATGGAATGACTGATGGTGTATATTGATAATAATGTGTAGTGTTAACATAGCTTCCTGGCATGGACTGGCTCTTCATCTGTTTTTTATTTGACCTACTGAATAGTCTTACAGCTCCTATTGGGAAGTCCACTGTTTCCATTGTCAGCTACAGAATGGGTTGCACAATAAGACCTTACAAGGTGTGAGCTCAGTATTTGAACCCTGAGTAGTGATCCAAGTTTACCAGCTTTCTGTGTACAGCTGATTCTGAGTCTCTGCTGGGTGACGCATCAGCCTCAGGCCTGTTGCTTAACATTAGCATGTATAGACTATTTTATTAGTTTTTGTTGTTGGTTGTTTTGTGAAAAACCAATTTAAAACTAACAATCCTGTATCTTAAAGTTGTGGGCAAAGTGTCAGTTGAAAATTTGGATGTGGCCAATAATGTCTTCTTCTCTTTACCTCTTGTTTCGCAGGAACTTCTGAGTGCAACATCGAAGCTGTGGAAACTAAAATAAAATGGAGAAAAAAAAAATCAACTGTTGCTATTGTTGTCTCTTAATAACTCAAGTAAGATGGAAGTGAGAACCTGGAGCCTTATCCGAATTTCAGTCTTGAGCCTTAAGGCAACACTTCATTGGGGTGGGCGTTTTGAGTTCAGTCATTTAAACAATGGCCACGAACTTTGGTAAATAAAAAAAATAAAAAAAAAAAAAACGAAGGAAACTTCATTTTGTGTGTCCAACACAAAGAGCGAGGCAGTATAAAACTTGTTTTCAGTGGCTGAAGACATTAATTCAAGTGTATTTGTTAGCATGAAGTCAAAGTTAAATTGCAATTTTTATATACAAGTTTTCTGTTAGAATACCCATTTTCTCATGTCTGTTCAGACCTTTTTTCACATGGATGTGCAGTAACAATATGAATTAGTAAAGCTGACTTGTTCCCTCTTTATGGAAAATGTGTTAAATCATTCTATTTAAAAAATATATTTTAAATTGTCCATAAGTTTCACATTCCACCCCATCACACCCGTGTATTTCTGCACTAAAATGCAGCACTGTTCCATTGAGTAACATCAAGGAAATTACATTTTAAGGGTTTGAACAAGACAAATTCAAATGGTGATTTATTTATTTAAACTTCATGGTATGTTTTTCTTTCAACACCACCTTTGTCAAGCCTTACCTATTCACCCTGTCACTCAAAAACTTTGCTTCTTAAATGAAATTTTCAAATGCATGTGTATAAAAGCATGATTTGTGTCACTTAGCTGCACGCTAAGCGTGATGTTAACTTTGACCACATGGGCCATATTACTTTGACTTTTCCAGCCCTGACACATTCCACACTCACTGATTCAGTTTACCTGCTTTCCTGTGACGGTGGAACAAACCAACTGTGTTATCTTGATGCATTGGGTAAAGTAAAACAAGTAGTGCCTGAGCTTGTAAAATGTTTTGGTACAGGTCTGACAATGTCCTTTATGCAATTAAATGGAAAGTTCAGTTTTTATTATGATTTAAACAAGAAAACTTAAAATTCCATGGTCCAGTCTGTACAGTTTCCATGGAATGACTGATGGTGTATATTGATAATAATGTGTAGTGTTAACATAGCTTCCTGGCATGGACTGGCTCTTCATCTGTTTTTTATTTGACCTACTGAATAGTCTTACAGCTCCTATTGGGAAGTCCACTGTTTCCATTGTCAGCTACAGAATGGGTTGCACAATAAGACCTTACAAGGTGTGAGCTCAGTATTTGAACCCTGAGTAGTGATCCAAGTTTTGTAAATCATTTAAAACATCAGAGGATCAGAGGTATATTTTCTGTTGGCTCAGTTTGAGCTTGGTGAACTGAAATGGTGACCAGTAGCTTATTGAAGCATACACTATGGTCAAGTCACATTAACGTCAGTCTATTCTCACTATAGCTTGTTCTGACCAGCAGGGAGCAGCATCTGGTAAGAAATATTTTCCTTCAAAACCAGAAAAACCTCTATCAAAACAGAAGAAGTAGGCCTAGTCCAGCAACATTTTAAATTCTTTAAACTATTGGACAACATACTTGGTCACTCAGCTGTAGACGATGGAGGAGTTTACCAGCTTTCTGTGTACAGCTGATTCTGAGTCTCTGCTGGGTGACGCATCAGCCTCAGGCCTGTTGCTTAACATTAGCATGTATAGACTATTTTATTAGTTTTTGTTGTTGGTTGTTTTGTGAAAAACCAATTTAAAACTAACAATCCTGTATCTTAAAGTTGTGGGCAAAGTGTCAGTTGAAAATTTGGATGTGGCCAATAATGTCTTCTTCTCTTTACCTCTTTTGTTTCGCAGGAACTTCTGAGTGCAACATCGAAGCTGTGGAAACTAAAATAAAATGGAGAAAAAAAAAATCAACTGTTGCTATTGTTGTCTCTTAATAACTCAAGTAAGATGGAAGTGAGAACCTGGAGCCTTATCCGAATTTCAGTCTTGAGCCTTAAGGCAACACTTCATTGGGGTGGGCATTTTGAGTTCAGTCATTTAAACAATGGCCACGAACTTTGGTAAATTAAAAAAAAAAAAAAGCAGGAAACTTCATTTTGTGTGTCCAACACAAAGAGCGAGGCAGTATAAAACTTGTTTTCAGTGGCTGAAGACATTAATTCAAGTGTATTTGTTAGCATGAAGTCAAAGTTAAATTGCAATTTTTATATACAAGTTTTCTGTTAGAATACCCATTTTCTCATGTCTGTTCAGACCTTTTTTCACATGGATGTGCAGTAACAATATGAATTAGTAAAGCTGACTTGTTCCCTCTTTATGGAAAATGTGTTAAATCATTCTATTTAAAAAATATATTTTAAATTGTCCATAAGTTTCACATTCCACCCCATCACACCCGTGTATTTCTGCACTAAAATGCAGCACTGTTCCATTGAGTAACATCAAGGAAATTACATTTTAAGGGTTTGAACAAGACAAATTCAAATGGTGATTTATTTATTTAAACTTCATGGTATGTTTTTCTTTCAACACCACCTTTGTCAAGCCTTACCTATTCACCCTGTCACTCAAAAACTTTGCTTCTTAAATGAAATTTTCAAATGCATGTGTATAAAAGCATGATTTGTGTCACTTAGCTGCACGCTAAGCGTGATGTTAACTTTGACCACATGGGCCATATTACTTTGACTTTTCCAGCCCTGACACATTCCACACTCACTGATTCAGTTTACCTGCTTTCCTGTGACGGTGGAACAAACCAACTGTGTTATCTTGATGCATTGGGTAAAGTAAAACAAGTAGTGCCTGAGCTTGTAAAATGTTTTGGTACAGGTCTGACAATGTCCTTTATGCAATTAAATGGAAAGTTCAGTTTTTATTATGATTTAAACAAGAAAACTTAATATTCCATGGTCCAGTCTGTACAGTTTCCATGGAATGACTGATGGTGTATATTGATAATAATGTGTAGTGTTAACATAGCTTCCTGGCATGGACTGGCTCTTCATCTGTTTTTTATTTGACCTACTGAATAGTCTTACAGCTCCTATTGGGAAGTCCACTGTTTCCATTGTCAGCTACAGAATGGGTTGCACAATAAGACCTTACAAGGTGTGAGCTCAGTATTTGAACCCTGAGTAGTGATCCAAGTTTTGTAAATCATTTAAAACATCAGAGGATCAGAGGTATATTTTCTGTTGGCTCAGTTTGAGCTTGGTGAACTGAAATGGTGACCAGTAGCTTATTGAAGCATACACTATGGTCAAGTCACATTAACGTCAGTCTATTCTCACTATAGCTTGTTCTGACCAGCAGGGAGCAGCATCTGGTAAGAAATATTTTCCTTCAAAACCAGAAAAACCTCTTCTATTTAAAAAATATATTTTAAATTGTCCATAAGTTTCACATTCCACCCCATCACACCCGTGTATTTCTGCACTAAAATGCAGCACTGTTCCATTGAGTAACATCAAGGAAATTACATTTTAAGGGTTTGAACAAGACAAATTCAAATGGTGATTTATTTATTTAAACTTCATGGTATGTTTTTCTTTCAACACCACCTTTGTCAAGCCTTACCTATTCACCCTGTCACTCAAAAACTTTGCTTCTTAAATGAAATTTTCAAATGCATGTGTATAAAAGCATGATTTGTGTCACTTAGCTGCACGCTAAGCGTGATGTTAACTTTGACCACATGGGCCATATTACTTTGACTTTTCCAGCCCTGACACATTCCACACTCACTGATTCAGTTTACCTGCTTTCCTGTGACGGTGGAACAAACCAACTGTGTTATCTTGATGCATTGGGTAAAGTAAAACAAGTAGTGCCTGAGCTTGTAAAATGTTTTGGTACAGGTCTGACAATGTCCTTTATGCAATTAAATGGAAAGTTCAGTTTTTATTATGATTTAAACAAGAAAACTTAATATTCCATGGTCCAGTCTGTACAGTTTCCATGGAATGACTGATGGTGTATATTGATAATAATGTGTAGTGTTAACAGCTTCCTGGCATGGACTGGCTCTTCATCTGTTTTTTATTTGACCTACTGAATAGTCTTACAGCTCCTATTGGGAAGTCCACTGTTTCCATTGTCAGCTACAGAATGGGTTGCACAATAAGACCTTACAAGGTGTGAGCTCAGTATTTGAACCCTGAGTAGTGATCCAAGTTTTGTAAATCATTTAAAACATCAGAGGATCAGAGGTATATTTTCTGTTGGCTCAGTTTGAGCTTGGTGAACTGAAATGGTGACCAGTAGCTTATTGAAGCATACACTATGGTCAAGTCACATTAACGTCAGTCTATCCTCACTATAGCTTGTTCTGACCAGCAGGGAGCAGCATCTGGTAAGAAATATTTTCCTTCAAAACCAGAAAAACCTCTCCATACTGCTGTAAGAGTGAAAGCAGAGAAGGAAATCCTGCTCTGGAGTATAACGACTTGTTGTAGTGTTTATACTATAGACCTACATTGAGTGATGGCATAAAAACATTAAAGGACGATTCTGATGCCACAGGCTAAGTTAGTCACATTAATGCCACAAGCCCATTAAGGGTACTCTAGATTTTCAGGTTTTAACTTGACAGAATTTTTAAAATGAGACCCTATGAAGGTTATGGTCAGCTTCCTTATTTGTAATCTATTCACAGCATTTCTCTAAAAGGTTTTTATAAAATTCTTATTTAACCTCAGTCTCTATAAGACTTATTCATAGTTTTTGTTTTACTCTAAAATCACTGTTTTTATTCTCATGACTTTTTTTTTCCTCTAAATGTGTGAAACACATCTCCATTTGAAGCATGCAGGCCTGTATCAGATTGTGTGGTAAAAGAAGGTGCCAGGTGAGGAAGTCACATCTGCTGATTAAAATAGCATCTGTCTCTTAGAATTTCCAAATGGTTCAAAGATATTGGTCTGGAAATCAGCTGGAGGCTGGACCCATGCCCCTGTTAAACCTGTGAAAATGTTGGCACTGACATTAAATGTCTATCAATGGACGTCCTCTACTCCAAACTATCCCAGCACACTATGCCTCCCCACACCTGTCAGTGGATCACTACGTTTCTGACAGACAGGAAGCAGCAGGCCACAACAACCTGGCATACGGACAGCGTCTCCCCCTGTGCTGTCACGGTGATGAACACCCATGACTGTGTAACAGAACGACAACCCTGAGGGCAATACCTTGGAAATAAACCATTGTATATAGCAATCTGGAAAACTGCATCTAAACTGTGGATATATATATACAGTGGTGTGAAAAAGTGTTTGCCCCCTTACTGATTTCTTATCTTTTTGCATGTTTGTCACACTGTAATGTTTCAGATCGTCAAACAAATTTATATATTAGTCAAAGATAACACAAGTAAACACATCATGCAGTTTTTAAATGAAGGTTTTTATTATTAAGGGAAAACAAAATCCAAAACTATAGAGCCCTGTGTGAACAAGTGTTTGCCCCCCTGTCAAAACACTGGTTTATCGCACCTGAGTTCAATTTCTCTTGCCACACCTGTTCGCAATCAAGAAATCACTTAAATAGGACCTGCCTGACAAAGTGAAGTAGACCAAAAGATCCTCAAAAGCTAGACATCATGCCGAGATCCAAAGAAATTCAAAAACAAATGAGAAAGAGAATAATGGAGCTCTATCAGTCCGGAAAAGGTTATAAAGCCATTTCTAAAGCTTGGGGACTGCAGCGAACCACAGTGAGAGCCATTATCCACAAATGGCGAAAACATGGAACAGTGGAGAACCTTCCCAGGAGTGGCCAGCCGACCAAAATTACCCCAAGAGCGCAGCGACAACTCATCCAAGAGGTCACAAAAGACCCCACAACAACATCCAAAGAAAGAGAAATTGAACTCAGGTGCGATAAACCAGTGTTTTGACAGGGGGGCAAACACTTGTTCACACAGGGATCTATAGTTTTGGATTTTGTTTTCCCTTAATAATAAAAACCTTCATTTAAAAACTGCATGATGTGTTTACTTGTGTTATCTTTGACTAATATATAAATTTGTTTGACGATCTGAAACATTACAGTGTGACAAACATGCAAAAAGATAAGAAATCAGTAAGGGGGCAAACACTTTTTCACACCACTGTATATATATTTCTATATTTGTAAGTACTTGACTTTCCTAATTCACATTCCTTTTCCTTGTTTTCAAATTGCATTTCTTTTTTTCCTCAGTCTTATCTTGTTTACCTGTTTACTCGTTGCCTTACGGAAGAAGAACATTGTACATTGTTAATACTGTTTATTTTGTTATATTACACAGCCTTATGTTGGTTTACTGTTCACTTGCCCCTTGCATGGGGATATGTACATGCACACTGAGAGCCACTGTACCATAGTCAAATTCCTCATGTGTTCACACCTGGTCAGTAAAGCTGATTCTGGTTCGTAAGGAGTTGTAAGGTGAAAGCCATAAAACGGACACAACAAGCATGACTCTTGAAACAGGACTGTACAGTCCTTTAGTGGATGCTTTATTATAACAATACTGTGGGCCATTTGAAGAGCTCATGGGGTCCCTCTGGAAGCCACAGGGGCCCTAAGCAGACACTTAGCTTGCATATGTATCAGACTGGTTCTGCTGATGTAAGACTGCAAGTGAATTTTAACATAAAAATCTGAACCATCTGGCTGTCAAAGAAAAAGCACATGAATTAGAGGTAAAGCTTGTAATAACAGGGGAAGGTAAAGACATGGGGATGTTACAGTGGTCAGTTGGGCTAAATACTGTGGAAATGATGGGCCAGTGGCATGTGAGAGCAGTTTAACCATACACAGCCTCAGTAATTGCTGTCATTAGCTGTTGCTTTATTGTTGCATTCCCACACATTTTGCCTCTCTTTTCCCTTCAGGTGAATAGCTGAGCACCACATCTTGTCTGCATCACATCCTCTCTTCTCTCTTTCTCTCTGTTTCCCAAGACGGCCTGATTGGACTGTGCACCGAGGTATGTGAATATTTGCTTCACCACCTATTTGTGTGCACTGAAAGCTACTCAGAGGGGTTGAGGCATTGGTGTGAAGTGTTGCAAAGACCCCTTGCTCTGACTGAAATGTGACGTGTAGATGTGCAAGTTCAGATAACAGAAACTTTGCTGTTGTCCACTGAAAGATGATCCAAATTTCATGTGTCTCCATTATCATCAGATAAGTGTCTGATCAAGTAGTTTTATAGAATAATGATCAGGAAGGAGCAAAGTTGCAGCAATGCCATTTTAAAGCATGATGCAGATTATAATTGACCTTTTTTTGGACATACATTGAGTGCTAGTCAATAATTAGTAATTATGGTTGGATAAAGACAGCTGCTCTTATACACACTGTACCACCATGGGGCAGAAAACTGGTGTATTCACATGGTAACATGTTGAGTTAGCATCAAGCAATAAGCACAGCTAAGCCCTAAGCACTGTTATCATGTAAGCAACACTACATGTTAAGGTTTTGAGCTGCAACCATGAATCGATGATTAACTAGTTAACTGATTAGCAAGACAGGAAAATAGTCAGCAACTATTTCAGTAATTGATCAATCATTTTACTACTTTTTAAGGCAAAAGTGCCGCACATCTGATAATTCTAGCTTCTCAAATTTGATGTTTTTCTTTGTGATATATGAGAGTAAATGGAATATCTGGATTTTGGACTGTTAGTTACACAGAACAAGGGATGTGCAGTAGGGATGGACCAATACTGATACTGGTACTGGGTTCAGTACCAGTATCAGTTTCTCATTGGCTGTCCTATACTTTCCAGTTGGAATTAGGAGAGTTACACATTACATTTAATTGGAATGGTAATAGTACCATGTTTGTTTACACCATAGACTGTATACAGTGTAAAGATAGACAGCATGACAGATCCAAAAAGTGAAGCCACTGCAAGTTTCACACCCCCTGGTGCCTTGTTGCACTATATATCATAATCCCTCTATGGTAACTGATGGGAAAATGAGCCCACGTGATTCTTCTCATTTTCTGTAGATATTAATGGCCAGATTTGTATATAAGTGGTCATTTTCCTGACAAGTTTGTTTTTGATAAATTATGTGATGACATAAAAAAGGGTGAATTTTGACTGACCGATCGATTGGTGGCCTGATACCATGGTTCTACTTCTGGTCACTACTACACAGAATTTTGCTGTAGCAGCTCCTATATTCATTAAAGTTAATGTCAGCATACGTTTGCTTTTTGCTTGAGCATCAGCCTGCTGCATGCTAACAGGTGCTGCACCACAGTGTTGGACCAACTGAAGGACTCAATACTACTCTTGAACTTATGGCTTTGAGTGGCTACCCACTACCCAACTCTGAGGAAGACGAATTTTTTGTATAATTACAACAAAATTCAATTTGGCAGCCCCTCAGACATTGCAACAACACAATAGTAAAAAAATATATATAGAAGTACAAATAGTACAAACCATAATATATACAAATACAATAGCATATAAAAATACAATATGTTTAAAAGTGCAAGTAGTGTATGTTGTATAATAAAACAGAAAAAGGTCGAGGTAGCAAAACAGCAGCAGTAATAGCAACAGTAAGCAGTGTAATATGAAGGAGTAAGATAACAAAATGGCAGCAATACACAGTAATCAGTGTTGCACTGGTATTGCCTGTTTGACAGTGAATGCTGAATGTGAACTGTGAGCAGGTAAATGACTACTATTAGACATGAAAAGTTTGATTCTTGCACAATAAAATATTGAGTTGTTGCATATTTATTGCTCCCCTTAAACTTTAGGTGTCGAACATGACAGCAAATAGTTGGTAGTGAAACTTGTTCTTGTTGCTCCTAAGTTGAGGGTGGAGGGAGGGTGATGGCAGTTATGGCTCTAGCATAGAAACTGTGCTTCAGTCTACATGTACATACAGCATGTGACTTAAGTGTTCTGTACATCTTCCCAGATGACAGGGGAACATATAAGCTGTGTCCCAGGTTGGGTCTGTACAAATGGTGGTAGGCCTTTTGTGTAGGCAGCTGCCATATACTGTATCCAAGCTTGGAAGCTCAGATCCTATGATCTTCTGTGCAGTTTGGACCACTTTGGCCAGAGCATTGTGGTCCTCCTGTGTGGAGCTGGCATACCACACAGTAATGCAGTAAGTGAGGATGCTCTCCATGCTGCAGCAATAGAAATTCAACAGGAGTTGTGTGGGTAATTTGGCCTCTACAAGTATCTTTAGGAAGTACAGCCTTTGGTTTGCCTTCTTTATCAGGTGGGAGGTGTTGACAGATCATGTGAGTTCTTTAGTTATGTGAGCCGAATTTTCTTGACCCTCTCCATTTCCTCCCTGTGAATGAGGAGAGGGAGTTGGGGGATCTTCCTACATTTTCTCTAGTCCACAATAATCTCTTTTGTTTTGGTGGTATTAAGATCCAGATTATTCTTAGTACACCGCGTGGCTGGATGTTGCACCTCCTTCCTGCCGTTTCATCATTTCCTTATATGAGTCCCACTGCGTAAGAGTATGTCCTCAGATTTGTGATTAAACATACTCTACAGCAATGCCATAGTTTTCTATCAGTAGGTTGTATGTTTGTCAGAAGCTTTGTTTACTCACTGAACCTCACTCTCAATTTTTTTTCCTGCTGCACAGACAGTGGAGGTGGCAGTGGGGACCAAGGCTATGATAGCCTTCACTTCAGCATGAAGTTTTATTAAAGGCCACTAGAGGCCAGCTAAAACTAAATTCAGATGGCTTCTAAGTGGCAAATCACTCTACATAATGTAGCTGAATACTGAAGCTTCTCTTGGATCCCACAGTTATGTATTATATTACAGTCTTGCTTTGCAGTCTCCTTCTCCGACTCCTCTTCTCCTTCCTTTTATTATGCCTTTCTCTCTCTTGATCTGTATCTTTCCATCTTTCTTGCTCATCCTTTTGTCCATCCTCCAGAGCAGTGTGGCTCATCTCTTTGTGTCCCTTTGTCCTCTTTCAGATGCCAGCAGACTTCAAACTAAGTGAGATCTATGAACTTTTAGACTGTTTTATTAGAGATGCTGCTTAGTTTAAGAATGTGGTCAGTAAATTTCATGACAACATTACCAGCGATCTTGTGTGAAAAGTTTGTGCCCCGAGGGTGGCGCTAGAGCAAAGCTGATCCAGCTCTGAAGAGTGTGCTTAGTAAACCTCCTCC